GGAGTACTGTCACCCCATCTGGTCCCCGAGATATGCTAGGGACTGTCAGTTGGTTGAAAATGTTCGAAGGAGGGCCACCAGACTGGTGCCTGCTCTTCGGCACCTCAGCTACCCTGAGAGATTGGAGTGCCTGAACTTGCCTAGCTTATACTACAGCCAGGCAAGGGGAGACCTAATTGAGGTGTATAAGCATCTCAAGGGGCACTACTCAGTTGAGTGTCCTTACTTGGAGCTGGCCGACGCTCGCCCCACAAGGGGTCACAGCTCAAGATTGAAGAAACCGCAAGTTCAGAAAACTGTGAGGGCAAACTTTTTCGGAGTGAGAGTTGTGAACTCTGGGAACAATCTACCAAACTTGACCAACACTGGAGCAGGTTCAGGTACATTCAGGAGCCGATGCATTTCCAGAACTTGCCAACTGTGCATAACAGAGACGTGACCGATCGCCCAAGCGGCTAATGGGCCGATCAGTGGTGAAGAGAATAAAAGTAAAAAGTAAAAGTGATGAGAATACATTGGGGCCTCGATTAGGGAATCTGGTTAACTATTCTGGAAGATTTTTAACTGGGCACAATATATGAGGAACCCTTCTCTCATCCATTAGCTGCTTTATCATGATAGGTTGAGCTTGAAAATCCTCCCTTTCATTTTTTCTTAGAATCTCGGTAAGAAAAAGGGTGACATCTTCATCAGAAAATACCATTAATGATGGATTATTGGAAATTGAAATCAGCTCACTGATTCTCATACCTGTTGCTATTGCTAGAAGGAAGGCTGCCTTCTGGAGCAATCTGTCCCGATTCAGATTTATATTGTAATTAGGCCCCATAAGAAATTTAGTAACTTTATTTAGAGACCAAAGTAGGATTCTCCTAGGCCGAGGGGTTTCTGAATGAAAAAGGACAATCTGAGCATTTGATAAATTCTTGGGTTCAAAGTAATATTAAAACCCCATGCCAGAGGGTCAACCAATGCTGATTATTAAGATGCAATTGTAGATCCTTGAAGGCCTTTAACTCGGAACAGAAAATCTAAAAATTCTAACACCACTGTTTCCGACAATGTGATTAGAGTTGTTAACCTGATCAATTACTGTACAGAATTGAAAAAGTTTCCAAGCTTTCTCAAATTGCATATAAGTTTAGGGTCTATGACCTGCTATCACTAGGTTAACTATATTGGAATTACCCAACAATCTATTTAAACAACTTTTGAGTAACTCCAAGCGTGAAGTGCCAAGGATATCTCGAACTGAGGGTGCAGTACCTGGTCTAGACATCCTTGTTGCAATTGTAGTGGATGCGGGCACCATTCCAACAGATCCAGACACCACGGATGTAGGATCCAATATGCTGCAATTAAGAGGACCTATCCCTGGAAGGATCTGAGTTTTTGAACCACTTTGGGCAACATTTTCACAGGTGGGAACAAATAGATTGAATTCCAACAGTTCCAATCTGTAAGTAGAGCATATTCTAAAAGATTCGATTGTTCCAGAGATGTATAAGTTGGCATCCTGTGATTGTTTTGTGAGGCAAAGAGATCTATTTATGGAGTCCTAAACCACCTCATTAGACTCTTGAACTTCGATATCTTTAGGGACCATTCTGTTTCTGTCGATACTGGCCTTAGACGGGACAGCGCATCTGCCCAATTGTTTTGTACTCCTGGTATGTGAGTTGCTTTGAGGTAGAATGTTTGTGTTACACAAACTTTGAAAAAATTTTCTGACAGTGTGAGGAGCCAAGATTTGGTTGAGCCTTGATGATTGAGACAAAACACTGCTGCTCGGTTGTCCATGGCAAACAGGATCGTCATGTTTTTTAAATTTGGGTTTGCCAACAAAAAGAATAGGACTACTGCTAATTCTTTTATGTTTATGTGTATGTCCCAAAGGGAGTTGCTCCACTTCCTTTGACGGAACTCGCCTTTTGAGGAATGGTATCCCCATCCTATCTCGGACACGTCCATACAAATGACCAAGTCTGTTTGAGGGGGAACCCAGGGAGATGAACCAATTAGATTGTCCAAATTTGTCCACCATGACAGATGATTCTTGATCTGAATAGGGAGAGAAGAAGCAATATTTCTGTTTCTGTGGAGCAACTTCGACCCCCATATGAGTTAGTTGCTTCTTCCTTAACGTGCCCAAAGGAACTACTATGGTGGCAAAATTCAACAAACCCAGTAGTTTTTCCCAATCATGCCAAGAAACCTCTTGCCTTACACAAAAGACTTCTACTTGGTTTATCACATCTGTGACGTTTGCTTCCGGTAGACTGACTGCTGATTGGTGTCCCAATGGAGACCTAACCAATCCAATTTCTGACATGGTAGGAGATTTGATTTGACCTGGTTTATCTTTAATCCTAGGTTTTTGTAGTATCTTGCGTTATTTAATGGGAGAATGACAAGCACATGGTCGGTCTGGCTGGGCGTTTATTCTCTGTTCTTGGTTACAACGTGCCTAACACATTTCGTGTTTACACAAGCCTAAACACTTTTTGACTTTGGTAAGAAGTAACATAATCTATAATATATATATAATCAATAAAGGCAGCATATAAACATACACATATATAACACTATTTCTCCCTTTCAAAAGAGAGCATGGCTGCTACAAATCCTAAATAAACAAAACTTACAGAATTACATATGGCAGGGAAGAAGAGAATAGAACACAACAAATATAACTTCCTAACTAAACAGTTTTGAAAGGCCTGTTCACAATTCAGATAATTAGAGGTCTAATTTAATTACAGGTCTCCTAACTCTGTTTGATCTTCCAGGACTATTCCCTCCATCAAGTTTTACAGGGGTTTCACTTGCACTCTGTGCATTATCAGTGTAGACATATCATCACTACAGTCAGTTGACACAGTGAGTGGATGCTGGGAACATCATCTTTGACATCATCATGATGATGATCATCTGAAACTGTGTCAAGTTTATCATCATGTCCTGGTGCTACATTCATCTCGTCATGTGCCTGAATGATGTGATCCACATGAACATATCTCAAAGAGTTACCACATTTCACTAAATATGTCCTAGATCCACATACCTTGTCAATGACACCAGTTATCCACTTTGCATGTACAGTACCATAATCCTTTGGACATATCACATCCCTTGTAAGCTCTTGGTGTTTTATATTTGTAGATCACCAGAGGCTTCATGAGGTAGTCACCTGAAGCATTACGGGTTAGGAGGACACTAAAGCGATTCTTTGCCATTTTCACACCTAGAGCCTGTTTTTCTTTCTTGGAGATAAATGTTGCCTAGGGGATTTTTTCCAAAACAACCCGGTCTCGTCACAGTTAAAAATCTGATCCAGGGTGTAACCTCCCTCTTGAATGATTTGATTGGCAATTTCAGGGAAGGAATCTGCAGCCACTAAGTCAGCAGACGAAACCTCACCCTGATACTTTGCATACTTTGTGCCACTTCTAGCCTTAAACTTATGCAGCCACTCTACTGAGGTGTTGAAAGGAGGGGGAGACTTAATGTTTTTCTTTCGAGCTACAGCAGCGTACAATACCCTTGCATGATCTCGTATCTGAGGGCTGCTAAAACTTGCACTGCCTTTCAATCTACAAGCTAACCATTTCACAAGAAAATGCTCTGTTATCACTAACAACCTGTTTCTATCACTTTTATCATTCATAGCTCGCCTCGCATTTCCATCACTACCGAAATATTTCTTAGCCAGCGCATTACTCTTCTTGGTCTCCTCTAAGTTCCTCTTAATATTTTGCACTGTAGATTCAGGACAGTTCAATTTCCTCACAATATCAATGTTCCATGCACCACTTTCAATGAGCTCAACAATCTGTTCCTTATCCTTGACCGAGTAGGCACACTTCTTGTGGCTTTGTCTCTTAGATTTGGGGTCTTTTTTCTCATTCACTTTAAAAGTGCCCAGGCGTTCAGGCGGCAAATCACTCCCTCCACCACCTCCCCCTAGCCCCTACAGGCAAAAACGCGGAGGCTATTATTGACCACCGACCCTAGCAACCACTGGTTATAGAGGCAAAAATCTCACACATGGGCGCAGCCCTGTATTCCACCGAGCATGAGTGAGAGTGAGGGGGAGCGGACAACTACGTCATCAACATGGCGGCAAACAAACGCTATCTTTGATGCGCTCGGATGCTTCCCGCGAAATCTCCGTTATTCAAGAGAATCCAGACGTTATTATCGAAAATGGGTATCTGTTGAAACTTACCGTTATTGTCGAAAACGTTATTGTGGAAGTCTTTATTGGCAAGAGTCTACATATAGGAAAATGTCAATAACTTTGGTAGCCCTGATATAAAAAAAATCGTTATATAAAGTTGCTATGTATCCTGGCCCTACTGTATACTGTATATGGTCTCTTGAATGTACCTGAACATGTGCTACTGTGTATAACAGAGAACTGCCCAACTGGCTTGTGAGCTGACCAGGAGTGAAGAGGATAAAGAAAAGGAAGTGTTGTCTCTTCACCCTGTCTGTCTGCATAAAATGTTTCTCATCATCAACTTGAGAATGAGTGAATTTGAGATAAATTTGGTGTATAGCTTTGCATCATTGATAGCACAGCTGTATTATAATTCGCAGTTTCAGTGAATATTGGGTACAGTTATGGCCCTTGGTTTAATTTAAAAAACTTGTGGGGCATTTATAATTTTTATGAATGTCTAATTGTTGGTGTAACCTCAGGTGTTTTGTCTTTTTATTGTGAAAATAAGATGAACATTTTTCTGATAGTATGTAATCTTTATGGAACTACCCGGTATATGTAGTTAGCTGATACTGTTCAAGAGGAAATGTAAAATTTATGGACTTTTGGAAAATTTTCATCAAAATACTAACAATACTAGGTGTCTTTTGGGTAATTTCAATGAAAAATCATAAAGATGCTGTCATATGAATACAATACACCAGTTTGTTTAAATGGTAGGAGACATTTTAAGGAGCTGTACTGTGTGTTACTTTTCAATGTGTAATTTTTACAGGATGAAGAAGTACAAGTTCCCCGTATACCATCACACAGCTTATCATATGCTAGCAATGGTGTCCGTGTTTCTCCAACACTCTCTAATGGACGAAGGGCTAGTGAGTCAGCTCTCATTGATAGCAAGAGGGATGCAATGCCTGAAGATCGGAATGGCACCTTTAGTGGTTCTGCCACACCATCTTGTGCCAGTCCAATTCATTCTTCAACTAGGTCAAGAAGAACTGGTGCTAAGATCATTGCTAGCGCCCTGTCAATGGCCAGGTCCCGGCCCAAGAATGAGACTTCAAGTGAAGCCTCTTCCACAACAGCCAGCCCAACCAGAAGCCACCAAAGCCCAGCTGCTGCATCCAAGGCTGTCCCTAAGATCAGTCTTACAGAGCACAGTGAGGACGACTATGGAGGCAGCAGCCCTGAGCATCACCGTAAAGGCAAGAAGTCTGATGGAGGCCTGCGAGCAGTGCGAGATAAGGTAGGTACGTCGCTGGTGTTGGGTTGCTGGCCGAGGCGATGACCAACATCTTCTACAGTAGAAATTACCACTTTTCTGCATGAACTCACATTGTTATGTAATTTATTTGTTACAAATATACTTTAATAATAAATGCATTTTGCTGTTTCTTTCTTCTTCTCTTAACCCTGGTTTACTTATACGTACTAATTTTGTATATAGTGTATTGTACTACTGTACTGTACTTGTATTTGCTTAGCAAAGTGAACTTGAGAGGCATGCCTGCACTAATATGTATGTATTATTAGAACTTAGAATTGCATGTAAGTCATGGTAATGGACTATTTGACTGGTAAGATAGTAATTGAAGAGGTATTGTGTGAATACTTAGGAGTGATGTGACAGTGGCCTACATGAATACAAAGAGACAGAAGGATATGAAATAATTTTTGAGGCTGAGAAATCATAAAGAAAATATTTTGTAAAGTCCTTTAATGGAAAGTTTCAGTGGTAAGAAACAAGGAAGACATGACTAAATAGAATGATATGGAGAAAAAATTTAATTGGTTGGATATGGAAAGTGGAAAAAACTAAGAGTGGATACTGTACAAGTAAATGTAATTGAGTTGTGTTTATGGATTCATTGATATTTGAGATGAGAATCATTATCAAAATCGGTTCAATTAAAAGGCTATATAGTACTTTCTCCATGTCTTAGGCAGTTAATTTTATTGGAAAGAATGAGGAATACAGTGCTAGATACTGCACAGGGTCGTGCTACATTCATCAAAGATTCTTATACTGTAATGAATTAATTAATTGTTTTTAATTTATAGATAAAAATATTTTCCCAAATGTTTTGATTAAAAAAAAATCAAAAGAATTAAACATTTTGCTAGTTTGGCTTTACTGAAGAATTGATCAGTGTCAAAACAAATTTAATTTATTTAATTTATTTTTTTATCTCAACATAACAGGATGCAGAGTTTGTATTTGTTGTGTTTGGGGATTCAGCACTCTTATCATCACAATATGTGAACAAGGGTTTCCGTTAATATTAAACTAAACACAGTATTTGTTCCTGCGCTTGTTCATATTTACCAATGTTTTCCTTCTCCATTTACACACATGTGTAAGGAGGCATGTTCTTTGAACTTAGTGTGAACTTCATGATGCAATGTTGAGGACACATCTATAAATTAAAGTACTACAAATTAATATTGTGTTAGTAATCGGTGAACCACAACATTAATTGTTTTATGAAGACAAAATTTATCACCAAATCATGTTCTTATTGTAGTTATTGAGTGAGATTATGGCCCACAGACCCTCTTGCATAAAAGTTTTTCATTTTGCCTCCGAGTAAATTGCCAAATACAATACAGTACAGTACAGTACAGTACAGGGTAATCAAGAATTGGTTATCAGCTGCATTGGTGAGGGGCATATGTGTGGCACTAACTAGTGTTGTAGTGAGAAACCATGACATACTGGTGAATAGTTTGTAAATGTGGGACAATATTTCTCTTAAGAAATACATTCTTTTTGCTGAATATAAAAAACTTGTAGAAATATTTTGAACATAATGAGGTGAAATGCTAATGTTGATGAAAAATTCTGTGGATGAGTCTCATAAAGGGAGAGAGTGTTACATGTGAACTATAGTTCACTTGTATTATCATTTGTAAACACTCTCATGCACTTTTATCCTCTTCACCACTAATCGGCTCGTAAATGAGATGGCTGCTTCAAGAAACATAGCAATTAAATGGAAGAATTAATTGATGATGAAGTTATTAAACATATTAATGCAGAGATGAAACTGAAGAGAGAGATGAAGTTGTTAGGGTACGAATTTCATGAAAAAAAAATTAATATAAAAACTTTAGTCAAATGTGGTAAATTGGGAAGGAAGTCACGGGGAAATTTATAGGCATGTAATAGATTAAGTAATGTCTTGAGGTGAACTTTAAAGAAAAATTACATTATCAGCTGAGAGGTACAAGGATTGCAGATGATAAATGAGATGCAAAGTCAGATAACTGGGAATATAAATTTGAGAATTCTAAACCAACTAAACCTGTATGATGGTGTACTGTACTGTACTTTAAGAAGTGCCCAGAACACTACAAATGGCTCATGAAATATGGGGACTGTGCTTCTAAAGGTAAGAAGTGATTTTTTGTGCTTAAAATCCAATGAATACAGTAACAAATAAAATGCACAGGTAAAGCACAGGTTTTTTGCCACTTTTTGGCATCGCCACCTCGATGCTTCAACACGGACCAGTCACTAGCACCGTAGCACCTCCTTCCTTGTTCAACTCATGGCCTAATTACTTGGCTATCCCAGTGGTACTCTCTTGTAGATCCTAATGATCCTCTTGTAGGCCCCAGTGATCCTCTTGTAGGCCGCCCTAGTGATCCTCTTGTAGGCCCCAGTGATCCTCTTGTAGGCGCCCTAGTGATCCTCTTGTAGGCCCCAGTGATCCTCTTGTAGGCCGCCCCAGTGATCCTCTTGTAGGCTCTAGTGATCCTCTTGTACTCTTAACAATTATCTTGCACACCATAGTGACTCTTGTATACTATAATGATTTTCTCTAGAATATCCAAATTAATCATCTCCAGAGCTGTGTAATGACACTTATTATACCTTATAGTGATTCTTTCTAGTATGGCTGATGCAAACGTCAACTCCCACCCTAGGAAGCTCTGCCCACTGTGTCAAAATTCCATGAGGCAGTAGCTGGTACTTCAAACATAGCACCAAGCATAGTGTTAGCAGAATTGTTTTCACAGCTTATGCTTGCACTGGCAGCAATATTGCACAAATAATTACATACACTACACTTTCAGTTTGCTTTCTTTAATTGTTTTTGTTGATATTAATCTTATGTTAACACAGAAGCTAAACCAAAGTTATTGGAATGAGGATAATCATAGCTAATGGCCAGAAAATTAGCTTGAAAAGTTGGCAATACAAAATATTGAACATTAATAATTACAGTACGTATATGACTGAAACATGTATCTTCATGTATAGCACCAAGAACATTTGATTGACTGACAATTTTTTAAAGAATTTCCTTCTACTGTAATTAAGTCTATATCCACTACATCATAACTCCTAATGCTTACTGTACAGACTAGATCATGTGATCTGTTGCTTTTTCTCCTGTACAAATTGCATAACACAAGCAATTAAGATAGTTTTAAGAATGCCAAATTAGGGGTTCCTAATCTTAATGAAAAGAATCGGCTTCAACGTTGACTTTCATAGACCTGGAGAAACTAATGATAGTAAATCATATGTTTCTAATATCTTCCTCTTCCAGTTTTGTTTCTTTAGAGTGGATCAAGGAAACAAACCTGAAAAAAAAGAAGAGAGAAATTGGTTGGGGTTATGAGTACAGTATAGGAAGAATACAGTGCAGTATAGAGTGATAGGAAAGAGCTGAAACAGCAAGTAGAAATACTGCATGCACTCTTCCTCACATTCATTAATATCATAAGGCAATCAAACATATTTTCACTGGCATCCCGACTTGTATAGTGGTACAGTTCTCCAGAACCATGTACAGTACAGCCACTCAAAAAACTGTCTTTACAAAAATTTTGTTAAACAATATGATGCAGTGGACGAAGGATTATGACAACCCTATCGAGACAGCAGGAGCCGCAGTGTTCATTCTGAAATCCATCGACCCCTACAGTAAATTTAGTTTTTTGAGAGACTGTGCATAGTTGATATTTATTGTCTTTCCCCCTGGTCACTTTACCAGTTATACTCCATCACATTAACTTTATTGTATTTTTAACTGCAATTGCACTTGCAAGAATGGGTATGTACAGTAGACCCCCCCATAAGAGTTAAATCAAACAAAGAGAACCTAAAAATATCCAGTAATACATTTGATATTAAGGCTCCACTTTAAGTACTGTGGTGTCAAATTATCATATGTCCAACACGAACTTTGTACATGGCTCTGTGAAAGTCTGCATGGCTCTATAACTAGTTTACATAGTTCTCTTACTATTTAGAATGGTCATACATAGTATTGTCCTTCCATCAAATGTATGGCAAAATGGTTCCCTCCTTCAACTACTACTAATATACTACTGTATATTGTTGTGATTTTTTTTTCCTGTTGTGTGATTTCTGTGGCTACTGCTTTTAAGACAGGGCAGTCTTTTTAATTATAAGTGAGAATAGTCTTTCTTCTTGTTCTCAAGATTTAGCATATGTCATTTAAAAAATACAGAGTATTTACAAGACACTTCATGTGGGTCTGAAGTTATACCTATTCCCTTTACTGGATAGATGTCAGCAGGATCAGGGACACACAACATTGTTACCAGAACCACAAACAGTCAACACTGACACGGTTTTACATTCACTTGGTATCCAATAACATGCTGGTAGATACATAATCTTTCTGTACATCTTAGCTCATATTGGATTTCAGTCTTGTGTTTCCTCCTTAGGAAGGATTCAAACGCAAGACTGCTGGGTTGCAAGTGTACCCAACACCTGCCACAGCCTATTAGAGTAGCCTCAGGTATAAGCACTCTCAGTAGAATACAAAAATGTTAGAAGCACTATCAGTAGTGTTAAAAATGTTATAAGCACTATCAGTAGTGTTTAAAATGTTAGAAGCACTATCAGTCATGTTGAAAATGTTAGAAGCACTATCAGAACCATAAAAAAATGTTAGAAGCACTATCAGTAGCATAGAACATGTTAGAAGCACTATCAGTAGCATAGAACATGTTAGAAGCACTATCAGTAGTATAGAAAATGTTAGAAGCACTATCAGTAGAAAGTGTTAGAAGCACTATTAGTAGTGTTGAAAATGTTAGAAGCACTATCAGTAGCATAGAAAATGTTAGAAGCACTATCAGTAGAAAGTGTTAGAAGCACTATTAATAGTGTTGAAAATGTTAGAAGCACTATCAGTAGCATAGAAAATGTTAGAAGCACTATCAGTAGCATAGACAATGTTAGAAGCACTATCAGTAGAAAGCGTTAGAAGCACTATTAGTAGAAAGTGTTAGAAGCACTATTAATAGTGTTGAAAATGTTAGAAGCACTATCAGTAGCATAGAAAGTGTTAGAAGCACTATTAGTAGAAAGTGTTAGAAGCACTATTAATAGTGTTGAAAATGTTAGAAGCACTATCAGTAGCATAGAAAATGTTAGAAGCACTATCAGTAGCATAGAAAATGTTAGAAGCACTATCAGTAGAAAGTGTTAGAAGCACTATTAGTAGAAAGTGTTAGAAGCACTATTAGTAGTGTTGAAAATGTTAGAAGCACTATCACACGTGTTGAAAAAAATCATAAACTAAATTGTAGGTTGTAGTACAGCACTTCACTTAACCCTCTGCCTTGTATACTATACTGTACAAAGTTCACTTGTAATTCCTGCAAGAGACTGAGCAGCCAGAAGAGCTGCTATCAGTTAATCATGGCTAACCCACTCAAGCATGGAAATAGCCATAACTGTGGTGATGATAATGTTCAGTTATGTATTATACAGTGTTCACTTTAGAATGATACAGTATGTACTTGTATACTATACAATGTTTATGTGTTTAATATATAATGTTCACTTGTGTATTATATACGTGTAAATTTTACTTGTGTAAACAGTACCATAGGACAGTACATAGTTTCACATTTTCTGTCGCATAAGTTCATAGTGCATGTGTCATAACCACCAACCACATAAAAAAAATGAAGATATTGTTTTCTATTAATAAAGACTGATATTCATCCAGCGAGTCCGAGATTATTCATCCATCACTCACCCGTCAGCGGCTCTTGTTTTCTACGCTTGATGTATGAATACTATAGTTACTGAACATTGGCATGTTGAAATTAATCAACTAATTAAAATTGTACAAATTGTAATGTTCGTTGGAATAATCAAGGATAGGTTGGGTTAGGTTAGGCTGTGTTAGGGTAAGTTGTAATAGGTTAGGCTGGGTTAAGTTAGGTTGTATTAGGTTTGGCTGGGTTGGGTTAAGTTTGGTAGGTTTGTTAAATTAGTTTAGGTTGGATTAGGTAAGGTTAGAGTGTGCTGGATTGAGTTTGGTAAAGTTGTACATGCTCGGTGTTATCTGTTGAGAAAATTTTTTAGATTAGGTTAGGTTGGCTCAGGTTAGGTTATGCTGGGTTAGATTAGGTGGTTTAGTTTGGGTTGGGTTAAGTTAGGTGGGTTAAGTTAGGTTGGGGTAGGTTAAGTTGGGTTGGGTTAGGTAAGATTTGGTTAAGTTAGGTTAGTTTATGTTAGATTTATCTGTTGTTTCAAGCAAGAATCACCAGTAGGTGAGTTATGGATGAGCAGTCTAGGGCTTACGGTTGTGTGTCAAGTGAATAACCCTGGCCTTAATAAAAACTAGAGTACCTTTGAGGCACAAGGTAATGTGTGTGCAGCAAAGGGATGTTATGACAGGCATTTGCAACTCTACCATTAAGCTAAAATCATTTGTGTCAGAATTTATTTTGATTTGTAGTATATTATGTGACATTTTCCAATAACAGTGTTGTGTATTTATGGCAGGAGATAAAATGCTGTAGATACCAGGTGTCTGTTGTTGAGAAAATTGGCTTTGTTTATTGTTTTGACAACCCCTAACACTCAACACATTTTCATAATACAAACATATGCACACACAAGAACAAAAATATTAGTTACCTTTTATTCAAAGTTCTCTAGAATATTGTATCTTGAAACTTGGTGATAGAACTGAAAATAAAGTCTGGGAAAAAATATTACTATTGCTTAATAACTGTACAGTACAAAGTTAATGCTACATGTCATTAAAGTTACTTTTTATCTTTTGAGAAATTATAGTAAATGAATAGTTATCATGCACAAATTGGCCATATTGAGAGTTCACAGTGCTAGCTGTTACTTTATCTTTCACTACAATACAGTACTTGTTTTCTTACTCCTGTATGTTCCTCTTTTTCTCTTCCTACTCCTGTGTTTTGCTTTTTCCTCCTCACCCTAAGTGTCCCCAATTACCTTCATCATTCCCTATTGCCTTAAATGCCCAATTCCATCTTAAATTGATTTTTTTGTTGTAATTATTATTGCCTCCTTTTGATGGTTCTTTTGTGATTTTGTTTCTTATTCCATATTCACTTTTTCTTGAATTTTTTTGTTATATTGTTTGTTAGCCATTTTCTTATCCAAATTATTACATTTAGCTTGTCTAAATATTAGCCTTTGTTTTTACTTTAATTGTTTTTTGTTATCTTCCCTGAATTATTACCCAATGTTCCTAGTTATTACTTGTTGATTTCCATAAATTATTACCTATTAACCCTGGTTAACTTGTTAACTTCCCTAAATTATTACTTGTTATTTTACTCTAAATGGTCTTTATTATCTTGCTGGAATTGATGTCTGTTATTTTACCATTATTGTTACCCATATATTACATTAATTGTTACTTGTTATCTATCTTAAATTTTTACAACTGATCTTACCATGTTACATGTTATCTACCTTAAATTGTTAATTGTAATCCTCACTTAATTGTTACTTGTTTTCCATACTTATTACTTTTACCGTCTACTGTATAACTTAATTGTACTGCACTGTACAGTACTGCCCTTAACATAAATACACCTTTATCTTATGTATCTCCATTCTATTTGTTACTTCTAAAGCAAACTTGTGCCTTTTGCCTCTTCATCTCTTTATTTTGATTATTCCTCATTAAAGGCTGCTTTGATATAATATTCAACACCTCAGCTTCTCTCCTGATCATCACTATTGCTTCTTCCTTTGCACCACCTTCACTGCTTTTCTGATTCAGTCTCTTGGCTCCATTTGTTTAATCTAACCTACCAACCAAACCTACTGAATCTTATTTTCCCTGGTTATTACTGGTGTTGGTTAAGTATTATCTGTTGTGACCTTGGTGCCACCCTTCCCTGTCTTAGATGCATGGTGAGGTGGTAGGTGGCTAGTCTAGCTTCCTGCTTGACTGACCACCATCAATTACCTCAAATGATATCCACCTTCCTCCCATGAGGCATCCTTCCTTCCTTCTTGGACTTGCTGTGTCCACCTCTGGAAATGCTGCTCACCCCTCCCCACCTTGGACACCCTCACGCACCTCCAGATGCGCCGTGGCTTTGCGCACCCTCTGCGACGCTTCCGGTCTGAAGCCAACGTGCGGGAGGACCCTGAGGTACGGCCACAAGAGAATCTTGATCCCCGCCTGGAGCTGGCCCTGAGCGTGGGCATGCCACTTCGTGTTGGTGTGGGTGGGGGCGAGGGAGACGCTAGTGAGCTGCTGGATGGGCCACTCACCCACGCTAAGTCCCAGCCTAACCTTCTGCTCATGGCCCCTGAGGCTGCCAGACGTAAGACTTAAGACGCCCAACAAATGCACCTATTCTGAGGTCCTATTGGTCACATTTATATTCTTGGCTGGAAGGGCAACAATCTAAATAATTTATGGCATTTGATGTTCAACTCTTAATTCTATAATGTAGCAAATACTACCGTATACTATTGAACATTGTTTCCTTTTGAATTAGTAATAGAGATTTTTAAAATTTGGCAAAATACGTGTTTGAGCTTTATACAGTATTTGAATAGGGTAGGGTAATTATTGTATATTGTATTTAAAAAGAAATAAAATATTTAGAAGGCAGCCCTGACAGTATGACCAGTTCCAGCTAGTCTAATGATCCCGTGCATGACATCAGGAAAATATCCCAGCCAAGGTACCTCCATGTTCATCTAATTTTGAACACCGTCCCAGTTGACATAGAGGCGGCTGCTGCTCGTGTGCATGATATACCCTTCTTTTTATTCTGTGAGGCTCTGTTTTGCACCAATGATATGACTTTTGGGATTACTTTTAACCTTGAATTATATTTAATGCAGAGTCAGTTGGTTGGACCAGTTGTAACACTGTTGTAATTTCGAGCAAACTTATCGGTACTGTATGTTCAATTGGTGAAAAAAAATTGCTAACCATTTAGTGTGTATGTTCTGCTAGACTTTATCATAAGTATGGTTAAAGAAAAGTAAGTAAAATTGCTCCAAACGTTTTTTCTTTCATTATTCACTTAATAAAAATATTGTTAAGGTGAATGCAATAGATTTAATAATAAAGGGGATGATGATTAAAGTAGATGAAATGTCTTAATGATATATTATTTTGCTTGGTCTAGTCCACAAGAACTAGAAAAGACTTCAAAATTGAACTTGTTGTTAATATGGATTATTGTCAACGATATACATTTTTATAGTTTTAAAAATTATAAAAGTTTTCTTAAATAAAATGAATGAATTAGATTACACTAACACAGTGAGTGAGTTTGTGATTTTTAAATCTCACTGAAGTCTATAATTTGTTAGTATTAGAAATTTAGCTTCAGGCTGGTTTGACCAACAATGACAAAAAGTTCTAGCTCATAATAGATTAATTGTTGATGGACTTGTGTAATTACTAACCCCTCTTTAAGACTTCAGCTGTTGAAGTGCAGTAGAAACATTATAATGTAAACAACCAATAAAACAATCCAAAAAATATTCACATAGCATTCTAACCAATGGAATCTGCTCATTTTTTATAACTAACCTCATGTAACCAAACCTGATTTTTTTTAATACTGTATAGGTTTCAATAATGTACATAGTAGTAGCTCCTTGATTAAATTCACATACAGGTGTAGACATCTTGCTCAAATGATGAACTTTACCTAACTCCCAGCCTTTAACTTCTACTAGTTTCGTCGTCTGCGAAAGTAATGAGCAGCAACAACTCCAGCAGTGGGCATGGACAGCAGCGTGCAGATGTGTTTGTGAATGTACGTGGGGTGGCAGGGATGGTCCAGGGCCTCCATATCCCCCGTTCTGGCCTCCAGCTGTTTCTTAGGGTCCGCATCAGGTGAGTGGCATTAAATGTACTTAAATGTTCCATGATTTCATTTTATGTAACAACTTGTCAAAGGTACAGATTCAAAGAGGTAATGCTTAGAGGATAACATAACTTATTCCTTCCCTCTCACACAAACTACTCTTGCTCTGGCAGTGATGACAAGAGTAGCAGCAGCAGTCTCAGTAGCAGCTTCAGCAGTAGCTTTGGCAGCAGTCTCAGCAGCAGTAGCAGTAGTAGTAGCCGGAGCACCAAAACAGTAGGGAGGTCTCGGCTGGTGCCTGCATCACCTTCCCCAACCTTTGAGTGTGAATGGCAGGTGGAGAGCGATGTGTCGCGCCGGGCCCTTCTTGTCCTTGAAGTTCGCACTGGCTCCAGGGAGCTCCTAAACTCTGCCAATGTTGTCCTTGGGGACCTGTTCACTGGTTAGTACAGTAGAGGACTTTTAGCTCTATCCTTTCTTTTGCTAGATTTTTAGCTGGTCAGAAAATTTGTCAGTTCTTTATTATGCATAGTTGGCACCACTGGGCATGCATGGGTTCTTTAACGTACCTGAATATGTTCATCATTTGTCAAGCCTCGACTAAATGGACTGCAGGGGAGAAGGGAGGAACATAACTTGGAACATAAGAAAAGGGGTTAAATGGAGAGACAGATAGAGAGAGGAAAAAACAAAGAATTATTGTCTTAGCTAGATGCAATTGCATTGAAAAGTGGACTTTCTCTTGAGATTGGAAAATCCCCTCTGGCTGTAGATGTTACAAGCATGAGGAGAACTGGTGAACAGATGGGTGTTGGGGAAAGACTTTGGTTAGAACAGTGGTGTAAGTAGAGGAGGGAGGGGGAATTGGTTTTTTTTATTAGAATGGTATCAGTTGTAATGAAGAGGAGTCAAGTAAAAAAGCACCAAAAGATATGTAGGATGGTAGTAAAAATGTTGGTACAGTGTAATACTTGAGGTAGTGTAAGTGTGTGTAAAATGGTGGTTTTCATTAGCAGAAGAATATACCTACATCCTCTGCTGACTTCAAAAGTCACGTGACAGCTTGTTTATAGGAGAAGTGAAGTGGAGATTCCTTTGCCATGCATTGATAATGTTGTTTGTGATGTACCATATGAGGCCACTGCAGTAGTAAGGACACAAGTGACATTTTTTAAAAATAGAGAAAAAGGCAACTTTCGTGAAACACCCATCGGCACAACGGGGGGGAGGGGGGGAGGCTACTTGCCTTGCTGGTAGTAATTTTTTGGTCATACGACTGGTGTATACCTTGCCTTCATTACGAAGCCTTTTTGCAACATTACTCCTCCACGGTGAGGCCTACACGGACGTTTATGGCCCCTTGATGGCCCAACCTCAGGTACACTCTCCTCACTTTCACTCACAACAGGTGCTGGGTTATCCACATACGACACACTTTGTGATAGAGAAACCTTGTTGAAACTTGCTGTGGTGGTAACTCGATTTTGGTCACAGTGGTGCTTGTGCTCTTACCACGGTGGTGGCCTCACGTACATGGTGACTGTATTCTTATATGTCTGGTATTTACTCTTTTACCAATTAAACAAATCGGTGGAAAAGCAAGTCATTGGCTATAATACTTCAGAATTCAAGAGAAACAATGAAAACACTTTTCTTATATAGGAGTGACCAGATGGATATGTTGGGAGCCAAAAATCAGTGCTGGAATATGCTCAGAACACTTCCTAAATGGTCAGCAGTACTTATTGCTCATACCCTCAGATGCAGGATGTTTGGACTCAAATTCTGTAACAGGGCAGTAATATCGACAATATATATCTGGATTTTATCAAGGTTATTGGCGTATACCCCATAAAAGGCTGAGAATGAAACTTGAAGGGTATATGATTCGGGAAAGGGTTCTAGCGTGGATTGGAGACTTTTTTCATAACTGCAAGTAGTGTGTGATGATTAATGCATGAAATCATCGTGTGTACCCATGACAAGCGGGGTACCACAGGGTAGTGTACTGGGCCCGTTGTTCATGGTTTGTTTCATAAATGATATGCCAGAAGCTATACACTCCTCCATACAAATGTTTATGGACGATGCCAAGTTATTCAGGGAAATTAAGAACCAAACAGACTGTGAAGAACTATAGAAAGATCTCTGTCAGCTGCAAGAGTGGTCGAAGAAATAGCTGCTGTGATTCAATTTCATGAAGTGTAAGAGGATCTATATCGGTCATACCAACAGTAAGGAGGCGTATCCCCTGTCCCAATGGGACGAAGAAACTGCATTAATAAAGACTGAATGTGAAAAGAAACTGAAGATCTCGGGCCATTGTGAGAATACGGTGAATCAAGCAATTAAACCAGTAGGCTTTTTAAAAAGATCATTCAAACATCTGGATGGTCCATCCCTCATAATGCCCTTCAGGATTGAGGTGCTTTCCATTCTGGAGTACTGTCACCCTGCTAGCGGCTGTCATTTGATTGAAAATGTTCAAAGGGGGTCACCAGACTGGTTCTTGCACTACAGCACCTCAGTTACCCAGAGAGATTAGAATTCCTACAACTGCCTAGCTTATACTATAGATGGGCAAGGAGTGACCAAATTGAAGTTTATAAACAGTCGAGTGTCCATACCTGTGTAGTATCTTACATGATTTAATGGGAGAATGAGAAGCCACATGCTGACTCTTACTCAGGTGGTTTATTGTTGTTGTTGTCGTACAACGTGCCTAACACATTCGTGATTACACAGGCCTTAAAACACATTCTAACTTTGGTAAGACGTAACATAATATATAATGTATATATAATCAATAAAGGCAGCATATAAACATACACATATATAACACTATTTCTCCCTTTCAAAAGAGAGCATGGCTGCTACAAATCCTAAATAAACAAAACTTACAGAATTACATATGGCAGGGAAGAAGAGAATAGAACACAAGAAATATAACTGCCTAACTAAACAGTTTTGAAAGGCCTGTTCACAATTCAGATAATTAGAGGTCTAATTTCATTACAAGTCTCCTAACTCTGTTTGATCTTCTAGGACTATTCCCTCCAAGTTTTACAGGGGTTTCACTTGCACTCTGTGCATTATCAGACGTATCATCACTACAGTCAGTTGACACAGTGAGTGGATGCTGGGAAACATCATCTTTGACCTCATCATCATCATGATCATCTGCAACTGTGTCAAGTTTATCATCATGTCCTGGTGCTACATTCATCTCGTCATGTGCCTGAATGATGTGATCCACATGAACATATCTCAAAGAGTTACTACATTTCACTAAATATGTTCTAGATCCACATACCTTGTCAATGACACCAGTTATCCACTTTGCATGTACAGTACCATAACCTTAAGCCATATTCCTAACTCTCACCCTATCATTTACCTTGAACACCCTTTCATTGGAACTCTTATCATGATACATCTTTTGTTGAGCTTGTTTCCTCTCTACAACTTCAAACTGACTTGGCTTAACTAAACTTAATCGTGTTCTCAACTGTCTCTTCACCATTAACTCTGCAGGAGTACATCCTGTCACACTATGTGGCGTGGTTCTGTATCTGAGTAAGAAATTTGCTAGTCTGTGTTTCATTGATTTTCCTACAGTTCCTTGAATTACCTGCTTGGAAAGTGCTTCCTTTACAATTCTAACTGATCTCTCAGCTGCACCATTAGAGGCAGAATGATAGGGTGGGGTCAGTACATGCTTTACACCGTTGAGTCTCATGAAGTTTTTAAACTCTAATGATTGGAATGGAGGACCATTGTCAGGTACTACCTCTTCTGGTATTCCATGTTTGGCAAATATTAATCTTAATTCATTAGTGGTGCTACCAGCATTAGTACTGTACATGTGCATAACATCAATCCACTTTGAATGACTGTCAATTACTATAAGAAATTTGTCTGTTCCTTTATCACAGAAGTCAATGTGTACTCTTTGGAAGGGACGGGTAGGCCATTTCCAGGTTTTCAAAGGTGTCCTGGGTGGCATACTCCTAACATTCTGACAAACAGAGCACTCATGTACCATCATTTTTATTTCACCATCCAGTTTACGCCACTTCAAATTCTGATTTTTGTACTTTACCTCACACTCTAATTTACTTTCTGTGTTCAAAATCTCTCCAGTATAGGTTCTCAACTTGACACCTGAGTCTTCTATAGGCACATGTGCAAATAGCTTCTCTTACATATCTCTACTCATTATGGAGAAATCAACTGCAGTATCCACTTCCATGGTTACAGGTGTGTCATTAATGTACAAGTCCACAGTATACCTATGTTTAACCTTCTCTTCATGACTGGTGTAAATAGTAAACACATGGGCACTCATCATTATCAGGTTCAAAATTACTAACACTCTCATGAATACTGTTTTTCATTTCCTTCTCATCACCTTCAACAACATATACTCTACCTTTATCACTTCTGGCAGGGGCTGCAATTTCTTTCTCACAGGCAGGAACAATATGTCCAATAGGCTGACAAAAGTAATATCTTGAATTTTTTAACTTACACTGAAAGCTTTCATGTTTCCCTAGGCATCTCTACATTTAAAATAAGCATGTGTTCCTTGTTTTGTGGCATAATTCTTCCTTTTAGCTACAGTTACTTTACACATTGAGCCACTACTGCCAACTGTTTCACTACCGGTATTTGGAACAAATTCTCTGCTAATTCCATGCTTGTAGCTATCTGAAATGGTTTTCAAAAGTTAAGTGAGTGGTGTTTATTAACTTATTCTGTATTTTTTCATAATTCAGACCTATCACAAACCTGTCTCTTAGAGCTTGGTTCAAGAACTGTCCAAAGTTACAGTGAATGGATAACTTCTTCAAAGCTACTATATAATCACTTACTGATTCATCTTTCCCTCTATCTCTTGTCCCATATTTGTAACTTTCAGCAATCTCAAGTGGAGCAGGATCAAAATGTTGCTTCAGAATCTTGGTAATCTGAATCAGTGAGGAGTCTTTGGGTTTGTCTGGAGCATTAAATAACTTGGAGGCTAGTGACATAGATGAAATTTTACACCTATGCCATTAATATTAATAAACGAGAAAGACATAAGCCAAGGACATGTCTAAGTACACTTAAGGGTTACAGTATTTGATTCAAGCAGTCACACAGTCTACAATAATCTGTAAACTGTAAATCAAACTATTATTCCAATATAACTAGATAGGAATTTACATATATGGCTAATACTGTATCTACATTGTGACTTACCCTGGTAAGCACTAATAAACCCGATTAATTTTAACATTTGTACTGATAGGAAGCTCCAGGTGCTGCTCTAAGGTCAGCTGGAGTCTGTTATTTATTAAACTGGATACAGCAGGTGCTGAGGGGATGCTTGTAGGACGAAATTCTACTTATTCTGGCAAACCCAAATACATACCTAGGCATTTGTTTATTAAAACTTTGAGTTAATAGTTAGTGAGGTTTTATCAAGTAAAATTTTGTCTCGAGAAATCTTGGTAATGGGGAGGATTAATGACGCATGTGGTGTGTTTATATCGTTTCATCATTAAATTAACTGCTACTGAAGCTTGTCAGGTTAGCAAGTAAGAAAAGTGTGTATAGAGTGTACAATACTTAGTGTGACTTTTTCTCCTTTTGTTGCAGAGCCTGGGACAGAAGGTAGTGTGGAAACATGGGTGAACCTACAAGGGGGTGCCACACTCCACCTGCAGGCTAGCCATGGTGGCCAGGCCCCCCACACTTCCAGAAGACGTTCCCTCTTTCGCTCCTGGTCCCTTCACAAACTTGGCAAGATATGAATGTGTGTCAGTGTGGCCTAATTTTTTTTTAGTGCATTCAAGGGAGAATTTTATGTGGCAAAAGGGCTATTAAGCAAAGTCATGAGGTGTGCTGTTACAGTTTAAGAACCATCTAGTACAGTTAAGGGCCCATTGACGTGATGAAAGGATAAATCAGGACAATCAGAGGACCCATCTAGTCTGAGGATGTAACTATAATCTGCTTTCGTTCAGCACAACCCAAGCAGTTCGTAGTGTGGTCCATGGAACTGCCACTGCAATCTATAGTGTGAAGCAGGAGCTATGTAATTTTTAACAATTTTGAAAGCTTTCAACATGACCTGTTGTGCTATTCACAAAATCTAATTAGCTATCAGTTTATCCATATGACTTAAGAGCTGTCAGTATGACTTGAAGACTGTCTATAAGATTGAAGTGCTGTTAATACATCTTGAAGGCTGTCTATATGAACTAAGAGCTGTTAGCATATCTTGAGGCCTATTGATATGACTTGGATGTTGTCAGTTTGACCTCAAGGCTGTCAGTATATTCTGAAGGCTGTCAAGATACAAAAGCTGCATACATGACCTGAATGTAGTTAGTAATTTTTACATTCTTAGCATGTTCCAGTAAGGCAAAGTGATATATACCACCCAAGAAAGTATACCATTGTGAAAGACTTCGACTTGAGAATCACATGGACCTTGGGTGATTTTGACATAGATTATCGAGCTAATCAGTGCTTCATGGCGATAATAATGTGTAGGGTCTCATTTATATTATGTAGCTCTAAAGACAAACGGGTTGTTTTCTTATGCATTCAGGCAGTTATAGAGATTAGGTTTGTACAGTCAAGGGTATTTTAGTATTTTAAGGTTGGTATACTTTCGCAAGTTTCTATTTTCACACCTACCATTACTGCAAGTCAATCTTGTGCAACAAAATCTCCAATCTCTTATAACCATGTGGTACAAATGAACTTTGCTTTATAACAAGTGTTATAAAACTTAAAAACTTTGAATGATTTTTTAATCATTCCCCTAATATGTACACATGCAATGAAGTGTTGTAGTAACCTTCAAAGTATGATGGAAATTTTCTACAAGAACTTATTTATGTTTGTGGGAGTGACTACAAACATAAATTGATTTTTTAAATAATGATTGTTAATGAAACATTCAGAAATATGAATCTATAAAAGTTGGATTGTGAAACAAAAGTTTTCAGTGAAAATTATAAAACCAAAGCTGATCCTAGTCATTACTACAAAAGTGTTGCTTTAAGTGAAATGTAGTCAAAACTTGAAAACTTTATTGATTTGTAATCATTATTGTTAACCTAGGAAAAGTTAGTGATATATACTGTACATCATTGATGTGTGTATTAGTGAATTTTGCAGTTCACTGTATGCACTATCTGAAATGCTATCATTTTATACCAGGGATGAACTGTGTTGGTGAGTTGGTAGTGGTGTTGCTGTAAGCAGGTCTCCCAGTGGCAACAATATCATAGGGTATTTTTCGAAGATAAATTAATTAGAAAGACATGTACATACTGTATATGCGTGATTCAGTTACATAAGATACACCTTCAATGATGATTTTTTTTATATGTATTATCTCATGAATGTACAATTAATTTAGTGCAAATTAGTAATGTAAGTACTGTACAGTATTCAGACTTACTAGCTACTGGATATGCAGCCAGTCTCTTCCTACTGTTTGCAATACTTTGTCACTACAGTATATGTAATATCACATTCAAGATTAATGAAATATATTATGCATACATTCCATTAAGTTATAAATTTTTTGATGGTGTTGTTGTCCAGCATTCACATACAGTTCATGGATGTGAATCATTAGTGTTCCCTTAGTATTCTGTATGAAGTCATTTTTACGACTAATCACCAAAATGCACATTATACCTGCACTCATATTAGTTTATAATGATTTAAAAATTTACTTGGTTTGATATCTAATACTATTTAATTTAGGAAAATATTTTTAATTTTAACTAAGGTGTGTTCTAAGATGTTTAATATGATTCCTGGGTTAAAAAAGTACATATTACAGGTATAATTTTACCCTGCAAAGAAAAGGTGCAGACAATTTTGCATGAATTTCATTAGATTTATAGTACAGTACAGGGGTATACAGTATTTGTTTAGTATATTAGAATTAATTTCGAGTCTGCCCAGTGCTTGTTCAACACCCAAACTGAGCAGGGTGTTGAATGGTGCCCATTTTTTTATAGAAACGGGACTTTCTTGGTACCTTTTGAAAAATTTGGTGTCACACTGCGAGAGGCCTGCTGTAAGCAACCAGCTCATGCCATCCTTCCCACCACCTGTTATGATAATATATCATGTGTAATAAGTTTACAAAAGCAATGTCTTTCTGCAGTCAATCAGCTAGACTTAATACAATGTTTTAGATGGGCATAATATGTAATAAGTTCATAAACTAGTGGTGTGTTGCAGTGTCACAACACACTGTTTTAGATGGACATACTATGTAATAAGTTCACAAACTAGTGGTATGTTGCAGTGTCACAACACAGTGTTTTGGAGAATATTGTATTGCCAATTACTATGAACAAGTTATATAAAAACAGAAAAAGCTTGGCAATCAAAATGCGAACTTCCTACAGTGATTAGTAATTAGTAGTGTAGGATCCTAGCATGAGATGGTGGCCTTATCCAACAAATACATCAACAAAAGCAGAAAACCTAAAGCACCATATAGTTAAGAACATAAAAACTGAGAACTATTGGTAAAATAAGTGTGAATAGCACAAACTCTCCTCAATGTTTATTACAAATTAACATTTAACTTTGTATGTCATACCCTTAGCTCAAAACTGTATCTTTGTGGATATTTTCAACCAATATTTATGTATTTCAGTTGAGCTGAATGATAACTTGTATGACAACAACTGTGATGTTCTGTACTGTTGTCCAAATGTATTAGCTGTTGTCAGTGACTGGTAGTGTCAACTGGTCTGTGCAAAGACTGTTAGCATCAATAGTCTTTACCTTACCATGGGTCACATAACACACTTGTTTGCAGACAGTAACTGGTTAATAAACATTCCTGCTCATCCTTTTCTTAGTCACCTGGGAGTTGTAACCTCCAGTAACAACCTTGAATAAGAATAGAGAATTACATCCTGGCAACATGACTCGATTATTAAGTTTATTTTTAAAAAGTCAGGATCTACTTGGTTGTTTTGAACACCAATAGGAATATAAAATAAACAAAGATGCAGAATTACAGTATCTTGAATCCAAAAGTGAAATTACCTTAAATCAAAGAATGTGAATTACAATATTTCTACAATTTATGTCAGAGATGCATTTCTTAAAGTGTGAGGCTCATAAAAAAAAATCCTATAAGAATTAATGGCATAACAGGGAATGCATTCCTCACATTCCTATATCACCAATTATATTTTAGCGAGGGGTAGGAGAACCAATATAGGGACCATGCCCAAAGATGGGTGGAGAAAGCAATTAACAAAATAAAGAATGGAAAGGCAGCTGGAAGCTTTCAGATAGTTGCAGATGATGTACTAGGCAAATCAATGGTGACTAAATTGACAAATGCAACCATGAGGGAATGTATTAAGCCCCGTCCACACGATCGAGCAGTGCCCGGCTACCGGGCAAAGCCTGTGTGTTGTTGTACACACGGGGGTGGTTGGCGGCAGTCATAGTTGGGCGCCGGTAGCTAGTAGGTGGTCGGCAGTGGTGGGTGCGGTACGATCACCATGGTGTGTCGCAGGAATAATCGCCGGACAGCTAAAGCGAAGAGCGTAGCGTTGTGTTCTATAATAATTGCTGCTATGTGCAAAAAGAAGAACCAAATGCAGAAAAGGGAATGGTGCAAAGAGTGGTTAGGTCGAAGAAAAGTATTGGGAAGTCATGCCACGATTTTACGTGAACTGCAAGATGGACTTGAGCAAGACTTCACCAATTACATGAAAATGGACCCCAACACATTTTACAAACTTATAGCAAAAGTGGAACCATATATAAAAAGACAGGATACCAATATGAGGGAGAGTATATCTGCAGAGGCTCGTCTAGAGGCAACGCTCGTATATCTTTCAACTGGGTGCACCTATACGTCACTTCAGTATAGAACGAGGATATCAAAACAAAGTTTGTCTCGCATAATGCCTGCAACTTGTCAAGCCATGTATGAAGTACTCAAGGAAGATTACTTGCAGGTGAGATTTGTAGTACATAAAAATTCATTGAATAATGTTAGAATTATGATATGCATAGACAGGAAGCTATGGGACTAGAGTTGTCGCTCCAACCACCAGGCAGGCGGACCATGATTTCGCTCAACAACGGGCACAGGCACTCCGCTGGTTTGCCCGCCAATTTTGCCCGATAACGGGCATTTAGCGCGTGCCCGCCGGGCACTGCTCGATCGTGTGGACGGGCCTTTAGAGATATTAGAATACCTGCAACTGCATAGCTTATACTACAGACAGGCAAGCTTAACCTAACTGAAGTGTATAAACATCTCAAGTGGGAACTAAAGTCGTGTTCATACCTGGAGCTGGCGGACGCCTGTCCAACAAGAGGTCACAGCTCAAGGTTGAAGAAGCCACAAGTCCAGAAAACTGTGAGGGCAAACCTTTTTGGGAGTGATAATTGTGAACTCTTCGATCAACCTGCCGGAGTGTGTTGTGACGACACCGAGTGTGAGCTCATTCAAGGCCAGACTTGACCAACACTGGAGCAGGTTCCAATATACTCAGGAGCCAGTGCACGCCCAGTATGCTTGCCAACAGTGCGGAACAGAGATGTGACCGACAGCCCAAGCGGCTTCAATGGCAAAGAGGATAAAAGTAAAAGTAGAGGTTAATTAATGCATTTCAACTATCGACCATGTAGTTTAGAGACTGATTAATGCACCTAAACCACCAACAAAGTGGTTTAGAGACTGATTAATGTGCTTAATCCATTGACAAAGTAGTTTGGAGACAGATCAATGTGCTGAATTATATATAATGGCAACATAAGGGTTAAGGAGTACTGTACCGATACTGTAATGTTCTTTTGAAAAATCAAAAGTTTTTTGTACACTATACAAAAATGGCAAAGCTTATCCTTATTTTCCTTTTTTTAACACATTTTGTCTTTGGCTTTGTCTGGTGTATAATCTACAATATACTGTACTGCATAATAATTCTTCTTGCTATCTGTTGTTGTAATGCAGAGGGTGTGCAACTTGGTGACAAATTCAGAATTGAGCTCCGAGGTAGAAGGTTGAGGGGGAGTGATCACCGCCTAATTATTTATCATTTCACCACTTATCAGTTTACTAGCTGTTTGGGTGACTGGTCTACTCTTTGTTACTTTGTTATGAGCTTTAAAGTCCAATGATTTTACAGGAGGAACCTGGAGTACACAGGGAGGAAACCTATGATGTTTGTAGGGTCACACACCCTTCTCATGTGTCTGGGCATTATTGCTGTACCACCAATATCTCCTAAGAACAATTTAAACTGACACAAACAACAGAATCATGACAGCAATTTTTCAAAATGCTCTATTGCACCATGATTATAACAAATAATAGGGTTAAAAATGAAGTGAATACCATTTGTATCATACACAAGTACAGTAATTGGCATAAATGAGGAGAATTCTTGTAAAAAAAAAGGAAAATAATTGTACTAGAATTGCCTAATACAATATAAAACAAAGAAAAAAGTACAACCTGTAATGTGAAATTTATCATAAGGCCTTCAACCAGTAAAAGATGAAGCCACAACTGACTTGGTTATTACAAAATGACATACAGTACTATACTTTCTTAAATACAGAGGGCCCCTGTTATTCATTTCCCCATTTTCATTGTTTCACATATTTGGCATTAATTTATTGGGGTAGCTGTTGCTTGGTTCCACACTGATGTCATTTTGGCGAGTTTAAATAATGCTATGATCAAATGGCAGAGAAGTGAGGCCAAGGAAAAGATGGAATGGATACTGTCTGCATGGATAGATGATATAAAAGTGAATAACTCCGGAATATCCCTACCAAGACAAAGATCTGACAAAGAAGAAGGGTCTGATTCCATGAAAGCAGAGACTTTTACTGCCAGCACTTTGAAATTGTCTTTTCACAAAAAAAAAAATATATATATATATATACTGTATATATATATATATATATATATATATATATATATATATATATATATATATATATATATATATATATATATATATATATATATATATATATATATATATATATATATATATATATATATATATATATATATATATATATATATATATATACCTTATATATATATATATATATATATATATATATATATATATATATATATATATATATATATATATATATATATAGTATACTCTGTTAACTAAGTAACTCAACTGCTCCAGAAGTTGTCGTTAATCGAAAAGTTCGTTAACCAAACCATTGTTTCAATGCTTTTAAATTGGTTCCAGCTCACCGAAATTTCCTAAATTCAACAAAAATGGTAGAAAAGTTCACTTACTTTGAGGTGTGTATGTAGAAGGCTCCTGGATGATGATGATGATGATGGGAATTACAATGGGGGTGGAGGAGAAGGAAGAAGAGAAGGCATTGGGGTGGAAGAGAAGTCACCCCATGGCACCATTTCACCCATAAAATTTTAGTTCTCTTGGTGTATTTCAAGATTATTTTCTTTAAATCAACACTGTACTGCATTATATATTGTCAATATGTAAAATATATTTCAAAATGACCAATAATTTGCTTGGAAACACAGAAAAAAAGCGTTTAGTTGAAGAGAGTCTCAAGCAAGATGTTACCTCCAGTGAAAACAGAGAGAGACTAACGCCTGTTTGCTGTGTTAAGAGGCTGGATGCTGCGCCTTTAAACTAGTCACTTTACCTTCAATTTTGTTCAATAATTGTTAAAATGACTAAAAAATTGAATATTAAACTTTTAAAATTATTGAATAGTATAAACTTTGATATTTACTAAAATAGTTAGGAATTTAAGCCCTAGAACCGATTAATGTATTGGCGACTGGATACTTGCTGGTTGCCCGCCAGTGCAAGCGTAAAACATGTTGGAGGTCGGTTCAGAAGAAATTGCTAACCGATCTGTCATAACCTAATTAAAGATCTCATAGCGCAGTTCGTTAAATCAGCCTGTTAATTGATATGTTCGTTAAACGAGAGGGTCATTTCGTATATATATATATATATATATATATATTTTTTTTTTTAAGTTAATTTGCGGTGTAAAAATGGGACATAAAAAGTGTTTAAAAAAGTGTTTATAAAATTGTATAAGCAAATCACCTCAGAAGGCATGAACAAGTAGTGGATGAGCTTCATATTAATACCAACAGAAAAATGCTGCAGTTCAATTTATTTAAGAAATTCATCTCAACATACACATAAGGATATCAATAAAATACATTAATTATATTTTTCCTTGGAGTCTGACAACATAAAGATTGAAGATATGAAATTTATAAACTTACAAAATTATCTAAAAAATTACAGTACTTTAATTTCTTTATTTTAAAGAAAATGTATTGAAAAGCTTAAATTCAACAATGCCATTAAAAATATGCCCTTAATACCATGTGTCTTAATACAGAAGTAACACCAAATGATGTGAGACAAATCTAGTACTGTAATAACAAGAACAGAGGTTTAACACATTCACTTCATATGCTTTTTGCATTTAATGGAATTAAATATACCGCACATCATTGTCAACAATATAAACAACTTTACCTCAACATTTAATATGGTTCTTTGTAAAACAAATCAATAAAGTATGCCGGTCTTACATGGCTGTTATCCTCAGTTAAAAAAAATTTTTTTTAGATTTATAGTACATGTTACATAAGAAGCCACTTCAGTACTTTTTAGAAATGCATCATAATTAGTGACAAAACTACTGATTACCTCAGTACGTACATATAAATACTGTATGTATTACCCACAAGAAAATTCAAAGATACAGCATATATAAGCTTTAGTATGATATACAAAAGAATACTACAAAAATATTAGCTTTTAGTAATTTCCACTGAAAC